TATGTGAATATTATATAGCCCTTATTTGAAAAATAAATAAATAAATAAAGTGCAGGATTAATTAATATTATTTATTTATTTAGCTTGAATGGAATCAGTAGACATTTTATGTTAAGAGAAATGTACATTAAAGATACCAAACACAAATTAACTGATTTAAAAAACAATTTTTTTTGCAAAGCATATAAAAGTAATTGAAGCAAATTTAAGAGATGCAGAATAATTTAGAGATGCAGTATTCAGCACTGTGCCCATCAAATGTGGCATCAGGCATTGAAAGAGAACAGCATTTAAACACAGTCATGCACATTTAAACAAATAATGGTGCACTAACTCCCTTTTTAAAATTTACAAGCAAGTAATTTTCCCTCACCCCAGCTCAAACATTAATAAAGTGGCATGTATAGTAATCAAATCATTCAACCTGTTTTTGCAACACACATCACTGGCAATGTGAAGCTAACTTCAGTATCTCACATTTAAAGGCCAATAACAATATTAAACCATCTGTTCAGCTTTTGGATGTTAAAAGAGGACACTCTTGTATTTCAGCCTCATCTGTTGAACTTTTTGGGCAATGAACTGTCATAGTGCAGGCCCGTATGCCTCCGAGAGGCTCCAGGACACTGAAGACCTTCTCCCACTCATCCTTCTCAGGGTCATAACACTGCACGATATCCACCATACACCTGCTGTTCCAGGAGTAACCACCCACCACGTAGATGCGGCCCTTAAAGATGGCCACCCCCACATCGCTCTGACCCTTGGGCATCGGAGCCACCACTGTCCACTGGTCAGTTGCAGGGCTGTAGAACTCAGAGCTTAGCACATCATCATAGTCATTTGTCCCCCGGAAGTGGTTTCCACCCATGACATAGAGGCGGTCGCCCACGGTGCACATGCAGTGAAGACCACGAAGCTCCATCATGTCTGCTCGCCTGCTCCACACGTCTCTATCAGGGTCATAACACAGCAGCTCTTTCTGGAAAGCATCTCTTGTAATACCACCTGATGGTATAAAGGGTGAATGCAACTTTTAAGAACAAGCTTATTTATTCTTGCAGAAACAAACACAAATCAGCAGAAAGAATGTGATAACGTAGCTGGAAGTATATAACTTTTTCTTATACTAAGGCCACTACTTACACAGAACTTAACAATCCACCAACAAAGTAAAAATCACAGGAGAAGTCCGAAAAAGTCCCACCAACATTTTCACCACATGATGTTTTGTGTTTAATTGCATTCTGTGGTGGAAATGACAATGGTGAAAATTATATTTTTAACTTTTTGGAGGTAAAATGACTGACTGTTCGCAGTCTGGATAAGTGTAATTTTATGAAAGTAAATGTAAAAAATAGTTAAATGTATAATTTAAGTGTAATATATTAAAATAAAATGTATAATATATTTTCAAACTTTTTGCATCATTTGAAATAATGCAAAATGACACAAAATGAAAACATTCTACTCACATGTGATTTCCAGCTTGATGTTTTTCATACATCACATGTTTCTTAAGCATAATTTTTACTGATACTTTTGTATCTTTGGAAAAGAAGTACACTGACTTTTGAAAAATCCTGGTGTGGTGGAAATGACCCCAAAATGCCTCTATATTATTATTTGTATCTTCCCATTACCCCAAATAAATTTTTTCTCTTCAAATTACCTTATTTTTAATAATGCTTGTTGAAAACTTTGTGATTCTTCAAGTAGGGACATTCTCATGGTTTCACATCAAGCCTGCAGTGCCCCTTTTAGGCTGCGGTCTAACCTCAGATGAGTGACCCAGTTGAGCTTGAAGCTGCTCTGTTTACTGGTTATCTGTTTCATGTTACTTTTGCCTCTAGTTCTGGGAACGTCGCCATTAGGTGAAGGTTGCAAAGTTGCTAAGAGACCTCTAAAAGTGTTTTCTTCTTCTTTTTTTAAGAGTAATAAAAGAATCCTTGTGCAGTGCATTCATTAGACTCATGCAGAGGACTGTGGTGGATTAAGGCCACATGCTTTGTGAGCCACATTTAATTAGTATAAAATCTCCTCTCATTATGTAGGACAGATGTTAACACATTAATGCACAACTACATATAATATAGATGTGCTTTTCACATTGATCTCACATGAAGGTGGATACTCACCCGACACATACATCAGACCTCCATGTACTGTGCCAGCATGTCCATAGTGAGGTTCACTCATCGGTGCAACAAAAGTCCACTCATTATTGTTCAAGTTGTAGCACTCCACCGAATCTGAACAACAGACAGTTTTCTGTTTTTCCACAGTATTTTAAGAAAGGACAGAACATTTTGTACAGAGTAATTGGTAAAACATGTCCTTACCAATCTCCCCAGTGGCATTTCTCCCTCCAACAGCATACAGCTTCCCCTTAAGAGCACTCAGATGGAAGAACGTCCTCTTCTCATTCAGAGAGGCCACCTGCAACCAGCGGTCAAAGCGAGGATCATACCTGTACGCACTGTCCACAGCTGTCTTACCCTTGGTGTCGTAAGTGCTCTGACCTCCAACAATGTAAAGAAAGCCCCCTAGAAGAGCCACTCCGTGCTGGTAACGTGGCACCTCCATAGGTTGGAGGGACCTCCAAGTGCCTCCGTCTTCCTCATCGTACAGCTTGAGCTCTTTGCTGACCACCAGTTGCTGCCTCATCACACCACCCAGAACCACCAGGTGAGTGCAATTGGATCGAATCCGAGTCCGTTCCGTCTGCAGCGTCGGCTGGAGGAAGGGAAGCATCTGATAGTTGCTGGCCTCCAGGAGGAGGTTGACACAGGCCGTGTCTGATCGCATGAACGTCTCCCGTTCCTCTTTTCCTCTGCTTGCTGCTCCTTCTTCAGTCTGGTCCTCCTGAGAGATCTGGAGGAGCTCAGCAGGGGACATCAAAGGGAAGCGGATGTGGCGCATCAGAGAGTAAACAGCAGAACGCCGCTCGCTAGGTTTATGGGTCAGCCAGGAGCGGGCGATGCGGTACAGCTCCATTTCGGAGAAACCCTTCAGAGAGTCACTGGAGAGGGCGTACGTTATGCTCGCCTCGGACAACTGCAGGAGATGGCCGCTCTGCACCAGCAAGGAGAAGTTCTCGCACACAAAAGTGTGGACGTGTCTTTGGACATCTTCCAGAAGAAGATCTCTGGCAATGCGCTCAACTTCCACGCAGTTTTCTATAGTGATCTGCCATGTAGAAAACCTGGCTTATTATGTCATGCACAGATGAATAATTCACGCAAAGGAAGAATAAACACCACATGTTACGGATTTATACCTCACTGCTGAGTAGCTGGTTGCAGAAGCTGAGAACGGGAAGCACCTGGAGGAAGCTCGCCGCCTCTAGTGTGTCCTGAAGGGTACCGAGACCCAGGCTCACACGAGATGTGTAGATGAACTCGATGATGTTCTTCAGGCCGACTGTGCTCACGCCATGGAGCTTAATCTCCTTCAGCTCCTGCTCTCTCATGCCACCTGCCACAACAAAAGGGAGAGGGAATTAAGAAAAAAAAATAGATCAGTGTGGATCAGTGAGAAATATATTGCAAGGAGGAAATGCTTTTCGTTGTAACCTAACTAACTAAAATGCAGAACAAATACATAGACACGTTTGACCAAAATATTACATATATTAACATTTTGACCCATATTTTTCAAGTTGATAATTATTTCCATCCATCCATCTAGTTTTAAACTATTTTAAACTTTCAGGCTTGGCTTTCTCAAGCCATTATCAAAGTTTGTCTACAAACATCGTTTTAAATGCTAAGGGAATTTAGACATCATAACAACGTATTTGATAGATGATTTGATTAATTACATTTAAGTTTTATTAAATTATTATTGTTTCTAAAAAGTATATTTTAATTTAGCAATGTAAAAATAAGGCAAGGGTATGCACAATCAAATATCCTATATCGACCAATAACAACAAAAAAAAGTCTGGTATCGGCCAATAACCAATATGGTATAGATCTATTGTACATCCCTAAATTTGTGTGATAATCACAAAACACAAGACCTGGATAAATAGGAGGATCAGGCTCAACCAGAATCAGCTGATCAACAGCAAGCATATGAAGCATTACAAAAAGGTGACACATTTAAACCACAGGGGCATCGCAAAAAACTGTCAACATTATTAATTAGGTTTGACAGCTAAAGCTGCTCCTCCTGGATTTAGCAAGACTCACCTGTGAACATGGCCTTGAAGTAGTCACTGGCTGAAGCCATGATGACCCTGTGGACTGGGAAAGTTTCACTGCTGTCACCAGGAATCAGAGTCACATCGCAAAGTGTCTCATCACCACGAAAACAATCCAACCCCTGGGACATGGCAAAATTTGCCATTAATATATATTATTTGCAGTGAAATACACCATTGTTGCTTTGTAAGTAGACTGTATTTCTCTGTTTTAGGCAGTTTGTTTCTACCTTTTCTTATGTCTTTGTCTTACCTTGAGAATGGCAGTGCCATGCTCTGTGCTGTTGAACACTTGTATTTGTGGCTTCGGAGGGGCAGTGGGCTTTTGAACCACTGGAGGTTTTGGGGGGATTACAACTGGTTTTGGCGCAGGTTCTGGAGGTTTTGAAACAGTCTCAGCTGGTCTTGGAGGAGTCGCCGTTGGAGGCTTGTCTGTTTGAGGAGGGGGTCGTGGCGGCTCTCTCTGCGATCTGCTTCCTATTCGGGAAAGTCTGCGATGCAGTTTTCCTTCCTCTCCACTGTTGCTGAAATAAAGACATATTTAAAACTTTGACAGTCACATCACATGAAAGACCTATATTCCTCCTTTCCTCTAATTACGATAAAATAATATTCTATAATAATTAGTAAACATTTAACTGACCATTTGTATCCAATACTAACAGTTCACTAACCAAATGTTATTTTATGTGCTCATAAATATATTTCTGTTTAGTATAAAACATGTCTGTCCAAACGGTCCTTTAAAGTAAGGCCTATGATGCAATAACTTAATAAGACTGTCAGAACTTACCCCATGCCTTTTGTGTCTGCTTCTTTGCAAATTTGCTCTTTACAGGATTTCTGATAGAAAAATTAGAACAAATGGTTAAGTGTTTCACCAGATCTGCAGGAACAATATTTGGATCAAAGTAAAAACGTTTCACCAACAACAAGGTCTGAAAGGGGAAGTTAGCTCTGTCATCTATGTGCAACGAACACAGTGATGCCGATTAGACAGACATGGCCTCTTCTATATATGTGTGTTTATAGAAAGAGGGAGTCTTTCTTTAGTTAAGTTCACAAAATAATTGGCAGATAAACTTAAGCTGAATACTGAACTTACTGAATATTTTTCTACTACTTACTATTAAGTAACAGTACTATATTTACCCATCCTCTTCAAAGCACTGACACACAAATGTAAAGTTTCTGAGTGGGGTAAAATTCAGGAAAGATGGACTACATTAAATAAAAGGAGCTTACCGAGACGTGGTGCTTTCTCTGGGGGTTTCAGAAGTGTCTTCTTATTTTAGCACAAAGCATCACACTGTGATCACACTCAGTCGACACAAATGGGTATGTAGAGTCTGTTTACCACAACCTCATTGACTTCCTGTGTCACTTCTCGCTCTCTTTCTCTCGCACACACACACCCTTACATGTTGTTTCAAAACGTTCTATCTTCCTCCTTTTGACATGTTACTTATAATAGGCTTCAGTTCAAGCCTTTGCTTTTCCCTCAGCTGCATTTGCACTCTGATGTTGTGTTTGATACTCATGAGGTGAACCCATAGCCGGTGTTAAAAGAGGAAGCCTAATAGCAGATTTTTATTTTTTATGTGCTGCACTAGCAGTACTGATTATTTACTGTAAAACAAACAATCTTTATGTAAAGGGCAGAGTGAAAGAATCAATATGCATTTAAATATGAGATAAATGCATACATTTGTACCATGTGTTTATTTTTAGAGTGAAAAATCGAGTTAACTTCGTACAAAAAGTAGGACGTCAACAGAAAAAGTGTAGCAATTAATTGTCAGATAAATACTGATTTAACACACACCATCATTTATTACTTCTGAGAATCTCGTATTGTTTAGTTTTGCCACACTGGATATTTTAATGTTCAATATTTGTTCCATACTGACCTCACTTTGCTCCAAAATCTGAAACTTTTCTTATTGCACATTAGTTTGTTGCCAGCTACATAAGACACCTTCAAAACCACTGTCCTGAATGAAATTCCTTGTTGTCTTCGCGCATTACTGACTTACTTAAAATTTGTATTTTAAAAAGTGCTATATAAATAAATTTGATAATTACTGAGTGGAGATTCATCAGGTTCTAAAATACTTCACTCTCAGTCAAAACAGTGTGGAATTTATGCAGTGCTGTAAATAATGAGTACTGAAATACAAATACTGTATTAAAACCATCCATACACTGTGAACATTTTTAAATATGTAATTCTTGCTAAATGTGACTTAAAAAACAGTAGTTTCTTGAATAGATTTAGTATTAATAGTGGATAAAGTGGATCTTTGCGGTGCTCTGCTGTAAGTGGTAAAGTAGAAATGACTAAAGTCCTCTTTGCTGTTCAAAGTCTGGAGAACTGAATGAGGTTCCTGTTGATCTCAGCAACGTTTCGGCAACCTAGTAGAATTAGAGGCAATTTGAAATGAAGAGAATTGTCAGACATCAAAATGTGACCCATTTTTTTGTTGTGCGACACGTGGCTCATTGAATTCTACACAGCAGACTGACCTGACAGCGCCATGGATAAACGAAACTCGTCATGTAGAATCTGTAAGATCTCTCTCACTCCTTCCTCCCCCTGATCAAAACATACTGTATGTGAACATCTTATCTGCATCAAATATCATGCAGAAACTTTAGAACAGGCTCAAATTTTCAAGCATTAGAAACCATAAAAATACTGCTTTCCACTCAGTTACCTTGTAAGCGAGGCCCCAGATTGCTGGTCTGCCAATAAACACACATTTGGCTCCCAAGGCTATGGCCTTCAGCACATCATTGCCTGTGCGGATCCCTCCATCCATGTAGACCTCGACCCGGCCCTGCACTGCATCCATTATCTCAGGCAGACAATCTATCTGTGTGACATGTAAGGTCAAGGTGTAACTGTTTCAATGGTGGTAATCACATCTAAACTACTGAGACTTTGATAGATTGCCTTACCGTTGCGGGTACTCCATCCAGTTGCCGGCCCCCATGATTAGACACAATAATCCCCTGGACGCCATGCTCTACGGCCAGCTCTGCATCCTCTTTTGTAAGGATGCCCTTGATGATTATAGGCAGCCGTGATAGAGACTGGAGCCAGCACACATCCTTCCAGCTGATTGATGGGTCCAGTGTATTAGCTGGGATCCCATATTCCTCCTGAGAGCCTGCCTGCTCCTGTAGAGGAAGCAAAGAGGGATTCATACAAACAGACACTGCATAACAAGCTACTATGTTTAAACTTTTAAGCTATAATGATCATACAAGTTTGAATTCAGCTTGCAACATTTCCCACTACCTCTTTCTGTTATTTCGTGCCCTTCCTCTACTGCTTTTTTCAAACTTTATGGTGCGAACCCCTTGTGATGATCCCCTTGTTAATCGTTAGTGTCGGACTTGTAACCCGAAGGTTGCGGGTTCGAGTCTCAGGTCTGACAGGAATTGTCAGTTGGGGGAGTGAATGACAAGCACTCTCTTCCACCCTCAATACCACAACTGAGGTGAGACCCTTGAGCAAGGCACAGAAACCCCAACTGCTCCCCGGGCGCCGCAGCAATTTGGCTGCCCACTGCTCCGGGTGTGTGTTCACGGTGTGTGTGTTCACTGCTGTGTGTGTGCACTTGGATGGGCTAAATGCAGAGCACAAAGTATGCTTCACCATACTTGGCCACACGTCACTTCACTAAGTCATATTATAAAGACAACATGATGTTTCCAAAACTTATTTAGCTTACTGTACTAACACAAATTGCTAAAATATGAAAATATTTTGAGTTCAGTTCAGATTTATTTGTGAAGTGCTTTTCACAAGAAATATTTTTCTAAAGCAGTTTAAAGATTTGTTTATATATATATAGATATAACATTTTAAGGTTAATTTGGTCACTTTAGTTTGGGGACCAATTCTCACTATTAAAGGTGCACTAAGCGATTTTTGAAAAATGCTTTTGACCAATGTGCCGCACACTCGCAGCCAATCAGCACTAAGGGGCGTGTCTAGTAATGATAGGGAGAAGAGAACGCTCAGTGAGCGCACAGGATGGATATTAGCAGATCGACTATAGATAACGAGAGATGGCAGATTAAAAAAAAAAAAAAGAGGAAAATTTCAGAGAAACAAAACATTAAAAAGAAGGGCTACGATCAGGCAAGAAGACCCGCGTAAATATTGGAGCAGCTTTCCAGCGGTGGAGAGAACGCAAGGAACGGAAGGGAATCGGACGCCAATAAGATAAGATAGTACATTGTACTTATTTTTTGATGTAAGTACATAGTAGTTAAGGCCACTTAATATAAAGTGGGACCATATTATAATAATTATTGAATTAAACATATGAAATAAATATCTTAAGTTAATGCATTAACTTTGACAGGCCTAAAACTATTTTCAATAATTTTTCTTTTCTCTCAAATTTCCCCCAAAACCCTTGCTTTACTGTATTATACATAAAAAAATAAATAGCTACCTTACCTGGAACATTCTCTCAAAGTTCTTGACCATCAGGTGAGGTGGAAGCTTAAACTGGTTGCGTATATCATTGCGCCGTTTGCCAGTGTAGGGTACATCCACTGTAAGCACCAGAGCTTTGTAGCCAAGTGCCTCCACCCTGCGTACAATCTGCTCCGAGAGCTTACGGTCCCGGTACAAGTACAGCTGGAACCAACGGTACCCGTTGGGTGCTGCTGCGGCAATCTCCTCCACTGAACATGTGGAGTATGTGCTGGCTATGTAACAGGTGTTCACTGTCTCAGTGGCTAGGAAATGAAAGAAGAATGGAAAGATAAATTGCAAAAAAGTCAAACTAGTAGCTAGTAGCTTCAAACAAGTTTCCATCTAGTGGCCAAAATGCTGCATAACACAAGAAATAATGAAACCAAGTCTCACCTCTAGCAGTGGCCAGTTCTCCCTCATGCCATGCAAGGCAGTGGAAAGCCGTGGGAGCAATTCCCACAGGGAAGCTTATCTCCATTCCCAGCACAGAGGTCCGAGTGTCATTGATCGACACATCACGTAAGATCCGCGGCCTCATGCGGATCCTTAAAGAGATGACATTATAGTATGAGATTAGTTTAGTTAGAGATTACGCATAAGCATGGTCCATAAAATTGTAGAGTAACACAAATATAGAGTGATACAAATTTAACAGCAGCATAGTACCGTTTATAGGCCTGCAAGTTGTCATCTCTGGTGCAACAGTCATCAGCTCCGGCCTCATAATAGTCCCACGTAGCCTTTGAGAGGTGCTGCCTGGCATATTCCTCAAAATCATTCAAACAGACCATAGTCATTTCTACACAGACGCCTTCCTCGCTAAAAAAATTAATAAATCAATAAAAACACATCTTCATTAGTATATACACAACTGACATGAATATAATTTCATCACTGACACAGAATTTGCATTCTTGCACCAATACATAACGAGAAGTATGAACATCAATATTAGAATACCATTTAGATTATTTACTTTCTCAATGTCAATGAATATAAAATACAAATCAATCTTTTGGGATGTATTAATATAAAAATATTTTCTTTATATTTCTCAAGGCATTTTTTATATTAGTAAATGTGAAAAAAAAATACATTTAAAAATTTTTAAACAATTAAAAATTTTCGCACAATATTGCAGATTAGTGCTAAAAACATTAAACAAATTACCTGCATTCAAACAGAACCATTACACACCTGTTTTTCAAAATTTAGGTTGGATATTACAATTAAATAGAATCACATTCAACAACTCTACTTTGGAAACAGAAACAAGAGGTCCATTTTACCTTTTCTGACGGTTTAGACAAATTTAGGTCACAGCACAGTGGACTGCTTCGGTGCTTTTAGCCCGCTAACTTTGGCAGTCAAAACACTGATTAACATGAAAGACTGAAGCAAGAGGAAAGAAACAAAAGTGGGTTGGGATTAACTTTTGAACTCTTGTCAATGGGCCAGTATTTAGCTTTTACAAGACACTTTATTTCCATACTGAGAGGATTGCATAGTACAAAAGAGAGTGAACTGAAATGTATTTTCACACTATTTGTTAGAAAAATCAAATTGTCAATAAACTTTTTAATAACATTTTCATGCACTACCACCTAAAGTTAATAATTACAGCAGAACACCAGATCTGTTCTTGTAGTCATCAGAAACTCTTGACCTATGGACTTAATCCAGTACGGCTTTTAACAGACTGCAGCAACCCAATGTTTACTCATCCATCAATACATGTAAACTATGTACCTCTGAAAGAACCAAAAACAACCATATGCTTTTAAAAATACAAATATTAGAATGAATCACTCACCTGTCTGTCAACAGCAGTATAACTCTAACTTAAATATTTGGCTATAATGGACTGATATGAAACAGCCTGTGTGCAATGTAGATTTGCTCTAGTGTAAATAAACATAAAATAGCAAAAGAGAGGCATGACCTAGCAAGCTGGGGCCTGGTACTGACCCCTGATGTTTATTGTGTTTGCATTGACTGGAAATGTGCTGATTGGCCATACTGACCATAGAATAAAACTCAGGCGCATGTGCACAAGTGTGTAGCCTCCCTCACAGTTCTCTACATGTGATGCAACCACCTGCTCTGTCTGACTAACTAGTGAGATAGCAATAGCATAGTCTGTTTAGAATAAAGAACCTGCTGTTCAAATGAAACGGTCAAATAAAATTCTGACAGATGGCCAAAACTGATTTATTTCTCTATTTTACAAAAATTGAGTGTTCACTTGAATTTACCTAGTTTGACAATACTGCAGAATGTAAGTGGATTCAATCATTTAATCATATTTATACCATATTACATTATTCCTTCAGGTATATAAGGCATCTTATAAAAAAAAGGCAATCACACTTTATCAAGGACCAAGGCCTCATAGCCTTTTAAGTGGAGTAGCCAGAATTGATATGTTTTCAGAGTGTCATACAGTCTTTGAAGGTATAGTAAACACACATGCTACTGTTGAAAAATACGGGTCAGTAAGGCATTTTTTGAAAGAAATTTGAAAAAAAATAATAATAATTATATACAGTGGGTACGGAAAGTATTCTGACCCCCTTACATTTTTCACTCTTTGTTATATTGCAGCCATTTGCTAAAATTATTTAAGTTAATTTTTTTCCTCATTAATGTACACACAGCACCCCATATTGACAGAAAAACACAGAATTGTTGACATTTTTGCAGATTTATTAAAAAAGAAAAACTGAAATATCACATGGTCCTAAGTATTCAGACCCTTTGCTCAGTATTTAATAGAAGCACCCTTTTGATCTAATACAGCCATGAGTCTTTTTGGGAAAGATGCAACAAGTTTTTCACACCTGGATTTGGGGATCCTCTGCCATTCCTCCTTGCAGATCCTCTCCATATATATATATATCATGGGTTCCACAAAAATATTAAGCAGCACAACTGTTTTCAACATTGAAAATACATTTTCATCAGAAATGCATTTAAAATATATATATTGTAATTGCCACAGTATTACTGTTTTATTGTATTTCAAATAAATACAGCTTTGGTGAGCATAAAAGACATTTAAAAATAATAAAAAAACAAACAAAAAAAAACAGCAGTGTATTAATGCCTCATTTTACATTAAAAAAATTAGGTCAACAAGACGTTACCTAAACATAAGTAGGCTATATTAAATCTTCACCGTTCTTCTTAAAAAATGCACTAGCCTACTCAACCATTTTAATAATACAAAAAAATTAACAGATCTGCATGCTTTTCATAGTGTACTTAATGTCACACCTTTTAGTGTTTTATCTCACATCACAAACATTGTATTATAGTAGAGCCTGAACTTCTGTCATTCCTTGTGCTTAAATGACAAACAATCATATCACAACAAAAGTTCACATATACATAATTAATACAGAATGACAGTTAATTATCTTACAGCAGTCAATAAACTGAGTGATGAACAAACAACATATTCAAACGAACATCAGATACTGTTTAAATCTGTTTGGCTGCATCAACTCTCAGTGAGCCAGGACATATAACAGTCACTTACATAAAAATCTGTGTCCGTAGAATCAAATCGTGACACAATACATTAATGCCTCCACATAACCAAGAGCCATTGTCAATAAAAAGAATTATGCTATTGAATGATCAACAGTAGTATCAACAAATACAACAGCAAAACCGCGGGTCTCACTGACTCTGTTTCAATCAAACTGCATTGTGCTACAGTCACACATCACATGGTTTCCTCACACGTGGCCTATTTTGTTTTTTTATTCCTTATCAAACAATCTCTCCATAGTTTAGGTATTTCTGGCAGATGTGTGCTCAATAATATCGCTCATGTTGCTAGTCACTTACCCACTAGAGCTCAATATGTTCATATTTTTATGACACTCCAGTTCTGCATATGTTTGACGTTCACAGTCTAGAAAGAAGCATGTAACAACATTAGATCACTTCTTTCTTTTGACTGGTACTTTTTTTTCTAAATGTTGTCATTATATGTCAGACAACACGGACCTCTAGAACAAATGAACAGTAGATGGCGATAGTAAGCAAATAAAGATGTTCTTTTTTGAAAGATTTCGTTGCATATGTAAGATTTTATGCGTATATAAAGATAAAAGCTTGACACATACAACCTTACATTCGGGATGGATTACAAGCTCCAACCAAATCAGTAAATGTATGATCAAATCTTAAAATAACTGTTTTGATGATAAACAAAATGATCACCTCACAAAAGGATTGTCCAAAAAAAAGTTTACATGAGATAAATAAAAAGTACTAGTGTTGCAGTAAAAGTTGCTATAAAATCAACTTAAGTGATTGTGGCTTTCAGTCATGTGACAGCTGTCGTCACACAAAATGTATCTCACTGGAGGAATCCATAGGCCTATCTAAGACAGGATTTAATACATAAAATACTCTATATTATTTGTAAAAAAACAACAACAAAAAAACTTGTTTTATATTAATTTTAAAATAAAACAAATGCTTTTTTTTGTACCCGAGTTAATTACTTTTTCCTAAGAAGTCATTTGTACCCTTCCTGTGTGTATGTGAAGTTGCCATATGTCTTACCTTGTCGCTAAATCTCTTGATTTGCTCCTGAGATCTGTACTGTGTTTCCCTACAACATGTGTTCAGGTAGGAGTGTACAACAGTGGCTCAACCCCCTGCCCCGGCTGCTCCCCAGTCTCTCTCTCTCTCTCTCTCTCTCTCTCTCTCTCTCTCTCACACACACACACGCACACACACAGGTTTACATTTGTGAAAAGTGGGGACATCCCATAGGCATAATGGTTTTTATACTGTACAGACCGTATATTCTATTGCCCTTTACCAACCCTACCCCTTACAGGAGACTTTGTGCTATTTCAGATTTTCAATACACTCCATTCTGTGTGATTTATAAGCGTTTTGAAAAGTGGGGACATGGGGTAATGTCCTGAAAAGTCACCTTCTCCTTGTAATACCTATACCTATGTCATTCCTTTGTCATTATACAAATTGATGTCCTCATTTGTCACAAAAACGCGTACACACACACACACACACACAAAAAATTTATAATTCTGTATGATTTAAAATTTGTATCCATGTCTGTCAAACACAGTGTGAGTTCATCACACATGGATCCTCACCACACATTATTGAATGTATAATGTGTGTGAATGTTTATGCATGTATGAGAGACAGAGGTCAAATGGTCAGATGCTTTTGTTAGACTGTCAGAAAAAAATCTGTAGAAGAACGGACAATATCCTGACAAAAAAATGACCATTATCTTTTCCGTTAAGTTTACACATTTCCTTCAAGCCTACAACACACTGTAATTTTTTTTTGTAATTTTAGAAATGCTACAGTAAAAACCTGTTAATTTGTAAATGTTCTTGTAATAAACTGTAAAAAAATCTAATGGTACATTTAAAATACTGTTACATTTCCAGTAATCTTACAATTTCCAGTGAAAAAATGTAAATTAACATTTCCAAAATTCCCTGTTACACTTCAAATGTAATGTTTTTTCATTTAAATAATGATTCTTCTTAGTTTTTTGATATCAGTTATGTAATTTATGCTACAGCTAATATTGTTAAATTAATGTTTCTTGTGGAAAAGCTACTTGTGATGAATTTTGATTCATCAGCTTTCTCTTTCCCATCTGTTTTTATGGTGGTACATTATAAAGGCAAAAAAAAAGATTTTAGTACTTCAATATGTTTTTTTCACAGATTTTTATTTATTTAAAAAAAGAGTTCAGTTTGAAGAGCTAATGTTTTTTTCTTCTCTGTCCTTTCATTCCACATTTTTGTGAATCAAAACAGCGTCTACTGTTCGTCACAATACAGCCTGAAGATCAAAAACACCACCCTCTGTCTGTCAAACACAGTGTGAGTTCATCACACATGGATCCTCACCACACATTATTGAATGTATAATGTGTGTGAATGTTTATGCATGTATGAGAGACAGAGGTCAAATGGTCAGATGCTTTTGTTAGACTGTCAGAAAAAAATCTGTAGAAGAACGGACAATATCCTGACAAACAAAATGACCATTATCTTTTCCGTGAAGTTTACACATTTCCTTCAAGCCTACAACACACTGTAATTTTTTTTTGTAATTTTAGAAATGCTACAGTAAAAACCTGTTAATTGGTAAATGTTCTTGTAATAAACTGTAAAAAATCTAATGGTACATTTAAAATACTGTTACATTTCCAGTTTTTTAAAGTAATCTTACAATTTCCAGTGAAAAAATGTAAATTGACATTTCCAAAATTCCCTGTTACACTTCAAATGTAATGTTTTTTCATTTAAATAATGATTCTTCTTAGTTTTTTGATATCAGTTATGTAATTTATGCTACAGCTAATATTGTT